GATGTTGGTGGTGGTATCATGCAGAATCATTCTGGGTTAAAAAACAATCCCAAAGATGAAGTGTGCATTTATTCAATTACCTTTTATGTCTGAAACCCTAGTTTTAGGCTGGATCCACAAAAAATGCTAGACATGGCTCAGATATTTGGAGTTTCAGCAGCAGTAAAAGATGGTTTTACCAAATAAAAAGGGAGCTGAACCCAAATCCACGCAACAGTCATAACATTTCTATTTGTTGAATGTTTAATTTCCTTTTACCTTATAAATATGCTATCATGTGTGTTAATCTATCACATAAAATATATATTAATTAAATATATAAATTTTTTTTAATAAAATTTAAAAGATTAAATGTTTGTATGTAATTTGACAGTACCTTGCAGTTATGTTCTATACATTCCTCTCATCAGAACAAAAAAGATTACCTTTTAAGAAGTGTAAATATGAGAGAAATACAGCAGGGAAAACTAATCTTGCTGAACTGAAGCAAATAAAATATTTTAATTTACCTTAAATTCATGTAGAAACAGATTAAAGTCTTGCAAGGCCTTTTCCCTGCCCACCAGTGTGTCATCTGTTGCATAAGAGTTCTTGAGAATCTGCTCTCCCTCTGTGCTGAACCACAATCCCTCCTGCAAGGAAAAAGATGGCAGTTGTAAAGAGTAATCTCATAGCTGGTCCAGCTGTGGGACTGATATAAACAAAGTATAGATTTTAGGAGCAGGAGTTACCAAGATAATTTTGGCCTCCAGCTCTCTGTGCTTAAGAAGGACTTCCAGGTGCTGCAGTGACTCATTTGATCTCATCACCAACATGTGGAGCTTCTCCTCCACTTGGTTGTAAAGACTTGTCGCTAACTCCAAAGCATCTCTGCAACGATATAGAAACAAACCAAAAATGAAAACCGAAATTTAAAATATATGATTGATTTGTTTTTTAATGAGCAGAACTGAACAGAATTGAATATAGTTGAACGTAATTTAGCTCGTTATATTTTAAAGCTGACGCGATCAGATACTGTGAAGGCTAATAAAACTGTCGTGACATGTTAAACCATAAAGGATGAAGATTTTTCAGATATCAGAAAACTCAAAGATCCTGAAATAAGTTATATTGGACCTTTAAAACACAAGTTTTTGTCGTAGATGAGGTTAAGCAAAAGAACCTTTGTAGTTCAACAAACGAATCATTAGCTTAGCCAAAGAAAAATAAAAAAAAAACTGTTTCTCATTGCCTTGAGCATGTTTAATATCGTTTACAGTTTTTGTTTTAATTAGTATATTTATCAGAAGCTCCAAGCCTAAATACAACTACTGCCCTTCACTTCGGCATAACAGATAAATCAAAAATAGAACATTGAAATGTTCTGTTTCTTATATCCCTGATTTCAGAAAGAGAAGGTCATAAATTATATATGTATACGGTATATATGTTTATGACAAATATTACGTATTTAAAAACTTTGATAATTATGACTTACAGAAAATAAAAACTCCAAATTTAGTGTCTTAGAGAATTATAATTTTTATAACTTAAAAGTTGTAAGCTTACAGTTCTTCCAGCGCTAATTAACCAGTGTATAAACGCTCTCTCTGTCTGCCTGTGTAGGCTACAAAATCATAGTAAGACTGCTGACATGCTGTCACTGACACCCTCCACATGGCTGGTACGCTACAAAAGACCATTAAGGATCCTGGTTGTTCACTGAGTGCTGAATCCAAGAATAAAATGGAAGAAGTGTGAGTGGAGTTAAAAAAAAAAAAGAAAAAAAAAAAGTTTGGTAGGAAAACTTGCACAAGCAACAAAATTACTGCCATGGAAAGAGGACTGTCAACCAAAATATGTCCCCAAATTTAGAGAACTAAGACGTTAGTGAGATTTACATCACATAATTTATTACAACACTTGGGTTAAAAATGCCACATTCCTTGTGAAAAGTCAGTCCTGAATCAAAGACTAGACTTGTTCAGTAGTGTGAAGCCCTTTTTTCAGATGAAAGCAAAATTAGCATTTCATTTAGCATATAGATGATTTCACTTCGTCAGTATTTCTACACCCATTATTTCCACAGGACTGCGTGGGTTTGTATTAAAAGAAAAAAAACTAACATCCTTATTTATAGTGCCGTCCCTGTTTGCTTATGATGAGCAAGATAGGAAAAGTCAGGAGTTCACCACCACACCTATAGTCCTCAGACTGTGGAAATCTGAATTCCTCTTTCTTCATCCTTGCCAGTAACGTTCCTCCCTCCTTCTGCAGAGTGACCAGTCTTGTATCTTCCAGAACCTCCTTCATTAGAACTCTTTGTTCCTGAATGCTGTCTTGAACTTCCTGCAGTGGCCACATCAAATCAAAACGTAAGACCTGACGATGAAAACAAAACAAACAAGATTCATCATGCTATAAACATGTCCTACCTGGGCAGAGTCCATCTGTTTCCTGCTGTCCACTTTCTTGATGGCCTTTTGCAACAAGCTGTTGGCTCCTCGCAGGTTGGACATGAAAGGCACAAGCTTCTGAAATATAGGAAAATATGAAAACATTAAACCCTATTTGGAGGTATAAAGATGACAAAGACAATATAGAGAGTAGAGCACAGTCTGATCCTCTAACACTCATCTACTGTTTGCTGCATTTCTTGACGTGGAGGAATCTCAAAGAGTGTTTAGGTTCAGACAAGGGACTGGAATTCCTTCACTGTTATTACTACGAGTACTGTATCTGTAAAATGTTTACATACAGCAAAATGTTATTTTAATTTTCAAATGAACAAAATATCAAAATTCTTGATATACTGTTTTATATTTTGCTTTTAAGGTGTCATCCTCCAATCTGTTCTATATTAACACTTTTCCCAGCAGCTGGACAGTATTTTTCCAGTTTTCAGAGCAGATTCTTTCCCAGAGGAATTTTTTTTTCTCCTTTTGACCACCGAGCCCTGACCTATGAATCCTTCAAGTGAGTCAAATGAATATTAGTCACAGAGCAAACCTGTGCTCTCTGTCCATAACAGGCAACTTATAAAAGATATAAGACAAGACCATCATCTGTTTCAGATTTGCTGACTCTTTGAATAAAGCAAGGAGAATATATCATAAACAAGCATGGCATCCTTCCTTATGCTTCGTGAAAAACATTCAATCGAATGCCTGACTGCATGCTCTTTGAGTTATTTGACAAAAAATAATCCACCGATTGGACAAAAGATTG